GTTAAGAATAGAATACTTTTATTGTCATTGCATTCCACGAATACAATAAAATTTGAAAGCTACTCCAGCACAGTGCCTCAAACACCACATCACAATCACACTACTACAGTTTTAAAAAATAAAATAAAATAACAAGAACAAGAATACCACAAATGCACTGTTTGATTCAAGACAATTACTGCCTTGGAAAAGAAACTGTTTCTCAATCTATTAGTCCTCATTTTAAGACACCTATAATGCCTCCCTGATGGTAACAGATCGAAATATGAATGTCGAGGATGAGAACAGTCTGTGGAGATTTTTAGTGCTCTAGAGAGCACTAAAGCTCTGCAGTTCTGAAGCTATGTTGAGCTCTGAGTCTATTGGAAATAAAATTGCTTCTCTCCTCTTGCTTGCCTGCTGAACTAAAGTAAAAGAGAAACCAACTTGCTTGCTGAAGACTGGAGCTCTGCTCTGAACTTGCAACATGTTTCTGCTTGAGTTTGCTCCATATTGGAGAAATCTACAACTGGTTTGTAAAATCTACTTATTATGTTTATAAAGATGTTAAATGAAGCATCAGCCAACTGTGTTTATTTTTCTGGTGCTGAATTAACACTGCAAAACTCTGAAGACTCATCCATACTAAAAACAATCCATTCATTTGCATTTACAGAAGTGTATATAAGAAATAAAAGTGCTATATTATTTTTAATAACCTGATTTGAATTTCAGCATCACATTGCATAGATTTACTATATCACCACTTCACTACCACTAAGGCCATCAAGCTGAACAAAAGTGATTACATCCATGGTTCTCCTTGTTTCGGACCCTGGCTATTGGCATGATATTATTTCCTCAAAATGCCTTACATTCTTTCATTGCCTGATGTAACACTTCATCAAATCTCAACCGCAAGTTGGCACGTGAAGAACAGAAGCCTGAGAATGCAGCAGGCATATGTGTGACAGTGATATGTGATGTACAAGAAAGAATCAAGAGCATGATACATGTTCAGTTACAATGAAATTTGATCCTCAGGCGACAGAGAAGTGCCTGTTTCCTTGCTTGAGCACAGATTTTCATGTCTTATTTCCCCAAGGAAAACCTGTCAATTTCTAAATAGGAATCCTCCAGCAGCACCCTGTGGGACAAGCAGCTGCAGCCAGTGGTAAAACCAGCCCAACTCCAACAAGGCCTCTAGAAATGTCTTGCAAGGAGAGGAACATATCTTAGCCCAACTTCCTAAGGACTTCAGTATTTGTTTAACAGCAATACAAGTGTCTGGACAATCACACAAACAACCATGGCTTCTCACCATTTGTTTCCATAACCTTAGGAAACACCTAAATCAGACTTTAACTGCAACCGAGATGAAGCATGAATGGCATCAGAAAAAAGATTGCCCCTTTCTGACAGTGAAAACTGCTTAGTAGCCATTGCAGGGCACATAAGTGGTTCATTTAAAAATAGCTATAATCTGTATGCCAAAGGTGAAATTCATAAGAAAGATCTTGTTCATATTCCCTGATAACTGATATACAGCAACCTAGTTAAAACAATCTCTTAATACACATTATGGTTTGCTGATTTGTGGCTGGTATTGTAAATGAAATCACTTCAAAAAAAATTGGAATGAATTCTTACAGAAGTTTACTGTGGTATATGAACCAGGTGCTTGGATACTGAAAATAATATGCTATGTTCATATTTAATAGCATTCATAGCCTCAACTTTAGAAACATCCAAATTGGTCAACATCACTATATTTTAATTTGATTAAGGGCTGTGTTAAAAGTTATTTTCTTTTATTTGTCCTGAATTTTCCACTGCGCTTCATCAGAATCTACAATGTATTATGAGTAAACCTAATCAATGTACTCTGCTATGCATAATTTGATACAGCTTTATTGCATATTTCCTTTCTAAGATAGTGTTCATTTATTTGCCATGGTAATATGCTGATTTATATTAACAAATGCTGTCCGTGCTTCCTATTCAATAAACAGTCCTGTGGTAGGAGGGAGGGGGAAAACAAGTATATGTCTTCCATTTGTTTAAAGGAGTTTATTAACATCACAAAACATTTCTTTTAGAAATGTTAAAAGCTACAATGGGTGGACTCAACAATGTCCATCTGAACCAGTGTGTCTCAACCTGGATACTCATCCAGAGACATTCAAAATGGGTAAACCCTTAAAAAATTAATTTCAACTTTATTGCCTTTATTACTTCTTCATGTCTAAACAGTTCAGAAAGCCTAATCTCACTTCTTGCTGCCATCCTTCATTTTTATAGTGCACTCACTGTATCCTTCCATGGTAATTGCAGAGATTTGTCACATCTGAGCATACTCTCCTTATCCATTATATACAGCTTCTAAATGTCTTTGTAGGGGTGGAGGAAAGAAAAAAGGAAATCAATTTAACTCTTTATGACACCTTGCTTTTTCAAGGTTATTTCCTGCTCCTTAAGAGCAAACTTATTATTTGGAATAATGTTTCAAACTACCACCAGTACAGAGAATAAATTCTTTAAACAGGACTGGGCTATATTTGTAGTTAAAGTGGTTCTTTGATTACATAAGATCCACAGTATTCAAACCAAACCCAAAACAAAAAAATTAAATCCCAGGGAATAAAATAAACTGCAAACAGCAATTCTGAATGGATTGTATTGAATTTATATTAAATTGAATTTATATATTAAATTGAACTTGTATTAAACATTTGCAAATTATAATTCTTAAATCTTGTGACTCAAGGGGTTAGAAATATCTGTTTTCAGAGGGAAGGGGGAAAATTGTCCAACTATGGTTATGGTTGGAAGTTGCACAACTATATGTCAGTAATGGGATTCAATTTTTTTTTACTACCAGTTCGGTGGGCATGGCAAGGGAAGGATACTGTAAAATCTCCAGTCAGAGGTGGTATTTGCCGGTTCTCCAAACTACTCAAAATTTCTGCTACCGGTTCTCCAGAACTGGTCAGAACCTGCTGAATACCACCTCTGCTATATGTATAAAATATAGCACTCAATAAACTAGAAACCTACATTTTTCAGGAACAAAAATAATCTTGTTATGAGAGGTCCTTGGTGCTCTCTGAACTTGCTTGTTTTCTTACAGACATTTCATTACCCTAACTAGATAGTATCATCAGTACGAGTAAGGAGCCCAAAAGAGAACAAAATGACTCCAGTACTCCTTCACCAATAATCAGCACTCAGATTAGCATCCATTAACTTCAAGGTTAATTTCAGACCACCAATCAAGTAAGCAATACCCCAATCAAGAAACTGCCAAAGAGCATTCAGTAAACAATCCAATAAAAGAATCTCTAAATCCACACCCACCCAGGCAGACAGACAAGGCAACAGAATATATACTAGCAGCAAAGAGCACTCCTTACTAGCACTGATGATGTTACCTAGTTAAGGTAATGAAACCTCTGCAAAAAAACAAGCAAGCTCAGAGGGAACCAAGGATCCCTCATTTCAACCCTGAGCTACAAATATTCTCCTTTAAATCTTGTTATCCCAGAAATAACACAATATGGTAGAATGTCGAATATATTATTAATACATAGAAATGTCTGAACTGTGTTTTTTAAGTGCAATTATATAGTCACTTGCCTGGGAGTAAACTTCACTGAATAGAATGAGACTGATGACTACATATAAAAATGCTGTATGTTAAATCTTTGATGAAAATTAGTAAAGAAACTTCTTTATCAAGATAAAGGATATAACCATGAAAAATCTCAAATCTTGACCCTCCAAGTTCTGGTTAGCTAGCACTGATTTTCTGCCTCAGTAGAATTGAATCTGCTCTGATGCATGCTATTTAAAGTTTATAAATTTATTTAAGGTGCCTTGCCAAGGGAAAAAAAAAAAAACCAAACTTGCTTTCTGAAACTAAATGGATTTCCTGATTTTGCAAAAGCCTGGATTACATTGCATCCCTTGGACATATTTAAATGTCCCCAGTTTTAGTGCAAATATTCTTTGAATATACTTCTCAGCAACAGTGATTTTCAAGTGATCATCCCTTATGGAACTTACCTATTTTATTTATAAAATGATTTCACAGCTTTTGCAATGTGTAAACACACACACACTGCACTTTGAATAACCTTCAAAAGCTCTCCAAGGAGGAATTTTGCCTGTTACACAGACACTGATGCAAATAAACTTCTCACAAAACAGTAATAATTTGTCTTGATTTCCTTAGTGGTGGTGGTACTGAGTTATTAGCAGAACCAGGATTAAAAAAACCTTGAGTTTTCCAGGTGGCTAACCCTTTAATTATGAAGTAAAAAACTTATGTTTTGAAACTTAAGTTATAAGGGTGTTGGGTTAGTAAGTGTTGCAAAAATAAAGCCCACAAATCTTAGAATAGGAAAGTTATGGGATAAGAAGATAATAATTAGAAAATAATTTTCTCTACCTCAGTTAGATACACACTAGCAAGTTCAAGTTACTCTGTTTGGTGGAGGAATTAGTAAGTTATCCCCACCTGCTTGACAAAAACTGTCTAAATGTTGATATCATGGCACTCTGTATAAGCCTTTTTATTAACTTAGCTTCTGCAATATTCTTTTCCTGTCAAAAAGTAAATGTTTTACTCCAGGGGAGAAATGAAATGTGATGATTATCAACAATACAGTCATGGAAATATCAGTGTTTCGTGGTATTGCTCCTAGACATTGATGAAAAAAAAATGGAGGACGGGTAATGGTGCAGAAAAATTAATTCATTTTCAGCCGATGAGAATCTTGCCTTCCCTTTCAAGCATGAAGGGAAAAAGCCATGCCACAAGCCATGCAGTACAGGTGACATGCAGATTTTAAAAATCATATCTGACACAGTTAGTAAAACAAAAACCAAACTCCTTTTCCAATGCGAGTAGTATATTTGCTCTTGGGTGCTTTTGGTAGCCAAATGGCAGCTAAATGGCAGTACAGAAAAAAAAAATCTGTCAAGATTCCACAGCAAGTCCAGTTGATACGGCTACCTACCCGTACTGGTCAGGCTGATGCATCATGGGACCCTGAGCGTTGCCATAGTTGGGGTGCTGTGAAGAAAACATGGGGCGTCCGCCAGCCCCAGACTGGCTGGGATAAGCAGGCGACCGAATGTATGGTGGCCTAAAGCAGAACAAAAGAACAACTTCTTTGGATTTGTATTGGACTACAAGCTTGGACCTGATGCCAGGATTCTTCTTGTTTGGAAAACAGCCATATTCTTTTTTCTTACTCTCTGGCAATAAGGAGAAAAATGTGGTTCTTCCATAGCCTTAAATGATGGGGTTCATCTGATACTCCCTACAGATGTCTGTAGAGATTCTTGGTCATCCAGGTTATCGTTGTCCCAAGGGTGCTTTTTCAGGAGGCAACTGGACTTCCTTGTTTTTTCTTGGAAGACATTTCGCTTCTCATCCAAGAAGCTTTTTCAGCTCTGACAGGATAGTGGGGAATGGAAGGATTTTTCTGCAAGGAATATAAATCTAATTGCCCCCTGAAAACTCCCTACAGATGTTTTCTTTTGTAATAAAAGTATAGTAATGCCTTAGTCTTTCTACAGGTAAAGGGTAAAAGAGGAGGAGATGAAAACAATACGAATTACTGTATCATAGAAAATAGAAACCGAAAAGAAAATTCTAAAAAAAATGGAGTTGCAAGATGCCTCATTTATGAACCTAAATGCTACATATATCTTACATTAATTATAATTATTTATATCACAAATGATGTTGTGAAATGCAACACTTGATTTTACTGCAAATGGCCTTCTTTTAAAATTAAGAGTTATTTTTGTTTTTTACATCTAGTTTTCACTTCTGAAAAATATGGATTGTTCAAAGCAAAAAAAAAAAAAGAACACTAAACCCACTGGCCTGCTAAATTGCACAGGCTTTCAGTTATTTTTATAAAACTGTTGGTTTTACATATTAAGAGCAGACATTAACAAAAACTAAATTGCGCTTTTATAAATTACATTCCTCACAGTTCAAACAAGATATACATTCTTAAAGTAATAAAATAAAGGTCAAGCATTCTAATAAAATATTCTTACCCTTTCTGGTTGTAATGGGATTATCTGCATTTTGAGCACTTACTGGTAATGTATATGTAATGCAATGAATGCTTTTTTTTAAAAAAAATGAATATCTAATGTTTATACTTTTTCAAGTATTATAAATATGCATGCTGTTTTATATGCATGCATTAAATATACAGATGCATATAATAGTAACACTGTTTTGCAAAGTAATCATGAAATTCATTTTTCTCTTAATGATATTTTTACTATTAACACAGTGAAACCAAAAGATACAACCAAGAACATGAATTCATTTGCAATAGGTGCCTCTGGGGGAAGGACAGCATTTGTAAACACAGTCTTTGCATTTTTGTAGATCTTAACAAACTTCAATTCAATTAACAGTTTAAGGGTCTGAAAATATTATTCCAGAAGGACGACGCTGTGGTTATTGGATCTAGAAATAGAATAGATGACTTGAGTTTCCTTATTCTAAAATGACCAGAGAACTTGAGTCTAGATGCTGGACCCACTTTGTTACTCAGGATGGCAGATGCCAATCAGATATTCTGATTAATTTACAAAGGTTGGCTGTATTGACAATGGCTTAAGTTCCTTTGCCAACGGCTGCATATAAATGTTCTGAAAGCCTAAGATATCTTGCTTATCTTTCCAGTAATGCTGCCTTTTTCTACAATTTATCTCATCACCTTTCCCAACAATTTATTGTACCACTTGCGTAGACTTAAATGTATTCTTTCAGAGGCTAAATGCAGGCAGTTTATGTCTTAAATTTAAATGGTGGGATTTCCACCTCTATGTATTTTTTGTTTTCTGAGAGAAAGCATGCTGTAAAACCTCCAATATTCAATCCTTGTCATTCTGGTTTGGTTCAGCCCATTCTACTCTTCTCTTTCTCTTACACACAAATGCGTTTTACTTAGCATGGACATAGTTAGTGTTTTCAGATCCTTCCCCTTGGAAGCGTACCTGCTCTGGGCGGAGTTGGCAGCAGCTTGCATCACTGCTGCAGCTGCCTCCTGGGCCTTACGGTTCACAGTTGGCATGGGTGGTCCCATCCCGGGGCCTCCTTGCTGAGCCATGCCCGGAGAACTGGGTGTCATACTGCTCATATTTCCAGGAAACGGTCTGCTTTGCATCCCAGTTGATGGCATTCGTCCCAAGGGAATGGTACCACAAGGCTGGCCTGGACCCTGTCCGTGCATCTGGTTGCTGGCATTTATACCCATACCAGGTCCTGGTCCACTGTAACCTGCGTTGGTCACTCCAGAGTATGTTGGCTGTCTGGAGTAGTTCCCTAAACAAAACAATATGGAAGAGGAAAATAAAGTTACTAGTTCTGAATCTGTGGAATGAGACCACTGGAAAAAGCTGTGTGCATTAAAATTATTTAAGTAGGGCAAAATATGTCTAAGTTTTCTTAACTAGTATCCAGTATCTGTCAGGCATTAGCATTTGCTGGATCTATATTTCTTGAAATTATGTGCCTGCATCAATAGGGATATATAGCAAACATGGAAAGCCTGGTAGACGAATGTGAACAAAGGCAATAGCAATAGCAATTTACACTGCTTTACAGCCCTAAGTAGTTTACAGAGTGCTTTTATTGCCCTCAACAATCTAGGCCCTCACTTTACCTTCAGAAGGATGGAAGGCTGAGTTAACCTTGAGCTGGTGAGAAAGCAGGCCATGGAGGAAACAGTGGCTGCCTTGTTAATCATCTTGCGGTAGCCAGAGCCACAGAGTGGAAAATGCAGAAGTAGCAATAGAATGACACAAAGGGAGAACTCACAATGATCTTCTAACTGGCCTGGAACAAAGTGGCTCCTTCTCCTTGTTCTTTTCATTTTTTAAAAAAAAGATTCCACTGAGGAAGCCTCCCACAATGATTATACCCCTTCATACAATTCTACTTAGTGTAAGAAATAGAGAGCAGAACAAGTGTGGTAACTCATCTTATTATATAATTTAGTTTTGCTTTTTAATAAGACATCTAGGCTGTTCGGTAGCTTCCTACACTGACTGATAATGGGACCAGAATGCCCCATGCTTAAACATTATAGCTCCCTTCTGTCCTTTAAAAAGGAATCAAACAACATTAAACATTTGGTTTCAGAAGGCAATGATACACCTATGATTGCCCATTGGGTTCTCACACGTACAACATTTATTTAATCTATAGACAGTCTGCCCCATCCCAAATGAGTCTGGGCTGCTTTACAACATTAAACAAACAATAAATACCAAACAAACTCTAGTGACTAATTCTTCGAATTAGAAACTACACTTTGCTATTTGCACCAAGTTTACAACTGTCTATTAAGAATCAGGTTTTACTCTGCACAATCGTGTTTGCCAAAAGCAACAAAAACATTTCTATGTGTATCAAAGGTCTAACTTTTGTCTTGGCTGTTCCTGATGTGGCATTTCATCTTAAGAATTTCCTATATAACTGCAAAGTCACTGTATAGCAGCGATGAGGAAACTTGGGAAGAACAGTACAGACTAACAGATCTTGTAAGCTTTTCATTCCCTAATCCTTGTTTACATAACTTTTAACCAAAAACTGCACTCAGACTGACATAATAATTAAAACAGATATCTAATATGACAACAAATTTGGAGGCTGCAAGTATGTTTTCTAAATACAAAGCTTCTGTTAAATAAAAGCCAGGATATCAGTAATATGATAATATTTCAGGTGAAAAAAAAGGTAGACTTCTTTCAACACCTAAATAAATGCCAACAATAAGTGAGAGAGAAAGCCAAGAAAGAAAAGTACAAATTTTCCTGTTTTTCTAATAGTTTCATAATTTGCTGGCAGTGGCTTTGACAGCAAGCAGATGGATGCACCATTAGATTCAATGAATGGAGCAGATGCTGAGCTAGTCCACATCAGCTGGGATATCAGGCAGCCAAGTGCAACCCCCCCCCCCCCCCCTTTTAAGTGAGTATTCTTTGGCGCAGCAGCCTTGGAACGTTAATAAGCAGCCTATTCTTTCTTCAACCAATGGAGCTCGTTTCAGCTAATTAGAACGAAATCCAGAGGCACTGGAGTCTCATATGGAAGAAGAAACTGCTTAGCACTGGAGCTTTCATGTATAAGGAAGCCAAAATATAGGTAAGAAAAACATTAACATTCTCTTATAAAAAAAATTTCAAAATAAAAAAAAGGGAGTTTAAAACTTTGTTTTGGCTTGATGTGTTTATTCCTAGGTGGCTCACTTTAAATTGGCTTTGCAGAATTTTGCATTGAGGTCCAAATTAAGAAACATTGTAACTCCAGTTTGATTTCAAGCTGTTTCAGCATCCCAACCTTTTAAAACCTTTCATTGCCTTTTTCATGATTATATCTGGCAAATAATTAGCTATATTAAATATACACCAATAGGGTAGGTTAACAAAAAAATTTTGAAATTCCCTTTGGGCAAAATCTGTTTCCTTATCTATGTAGCGCATGCTCAAGTTTAGGTGCTAAAATAATAAAAATTATTCCCAATATCAAACGAATTAGAAAACTGACTTTATTTCTGTAAAAGTTTTTCTACACAGATTCCAGGTAATTTACTTGTTATGTACTAAGTAATAGTTAATTACACACTCCATTTGCCAATGAACTTTCACCTTACAAGTTAAAATAAAAAACCAGTACTTTCATACACATACCGACTTAGAAATGAGGCATGTAGTTTTTAAAATTTAGCCCAATAAAAATTGCAAAGTATTTCTTGTCTAGCACCTGCTCATAACTTCTGGCAGCCAGAACATTGTATTTGAACTGATAAAGGGACTATTATTCAAGAACTGGGTTTACTATGCAACAATAACAATGTTCCTGAAAGTGGTATTTCACTTCTTATTCACTCTTTAAAGTTACCAGTGCTTCAAAAGTTATGAATTAAAACCATGGAAATGAATGTTTTTTATGTTTCTCATTCTTGCCTGAAGCCCAGATATTAGAGCGGCACATGCAGTATAAAGTGAGCTTGTGCTGATGTGTGTGGAATGGTGAAAGATGATGCTTTCAGAATTCAATAAAAAAACAGAAGCTAAGGAATATATGATTAATTGCAGCGGGCTGTTTTCTTCAACGCTAGCCTCTATTCTAAAACTAAGTAATCAACCATTTGTATTATTTAGGATTTTAAAACTGAGCTGAATTCTACAAATCAAATCAAAGAAATTCGAGTTGCACAATGGCTGCTACTCAGCAGAGGAGACCCATTTCACAATTCTGAAATATCACAGCACAGATATTACCTGGCAGGATTTTAATCAGAAAGTAATCATTTTTGGCTTGATTCCAAATCAATTATGGGAACTAAACACTGCAGATTTATAGTGGAGAACTTTTTAAAAATACAAAGGCAGAATTGTAGAGGGTTGCTTGTGTATTTTATTATGATAATGATCTACTTTTATTTAGTTTTTTTTCAACATAAAAGGTAGTTTTTGATACCATCAACCATGATACATCGTTCAGGATCAGCTCAGAAGGTTGCTAGTGGACAGCATGGTATTGTGCTGTTCATCTCCTTCCTTCAGACTTGATTTCAGTCAGTGGTGATAGGGAAGGAGAGGTCTTGCCCATGGCCTCTACAGGGTTTGGTGTTTTTTCCTTAACACTACATGAGGCCTTTGGGTGAGCTCATCCATCACCATGGGGTGAAGTATTGTCAGTATGCTGGTGATACCCAATTATATATCTCCACCCTGGAAAACTAAGTGATATCATGACCATCTTATTCTGGAACCTGAGTAACGGGAATAACTCCACTAGAGGAACTCTTTCACCCAAAATGCAAGCAACAAACAATGCATTTTTACTGTGATTTACTGTTTTTCACCCACAAATTCAATAGTTAGATAGCTCCACAGTGAGTTACTGAATAATGCAAACTTTTCCAGCTGTTTATATTTACAATATACAATAGTTTTGACTACCTGACAGCCAACTAAACTGTTTACTGCACAAAATATTTCTTTATTGGATTTGAAGGTTATTTACAATCCACTTGTGTAATTTGAATTCATTTTTATTCCACATATTTCTCTGGGATAGGAAACAAACAAACATTGGTCTAGTACAAATACTATCTTGGCTGAACCTTTGCTGCTGTACTGTTTTTCTTCCTCAATTGTTAGATGATTTGCTTCCTGGAAGCCAGTTCAAACCACCATCCAAACCTGTTTCAAAGTCTAATGTCTATTTTGAAATGCTGCAGTATTGCAACGTTCATTCCCCCCCATCAACATGAGATCTAGTTGAGAATCATAGAATTGCAATCCAATATTAACTAGAAAAAAAACTAGAAACTACATTTTACCTATCAACATCTTCTATTACCAAGAAAAACATAAAATAAGGGCACTGAACAAAGGGCATGTCATGACAGGGAAACTGAGGGTGTATGTTGAAGAATTTTAAGAATCCCCGTAGACTTTAAAATGACAACAGTATCACTATTGTCTTTTCCTATCGATAACTTTGATTTATCTGGAACTGAATCTTTACTTATGCGATTGAATCATACATAATTGCAATTAAATTTAAAAAGTATTAAAACATCTTTTTAGGTAAAAGAATTTTGAAATGTATTCATTTTTATTTTATTTATCAAATTTCCATATGACCACTTCATCTAAGTGAGTCTGGGTGTTTAAAATGCAAACTAGCATAACAAAAAATATATTGACTAACAAACTTATTGTCAACTAAAAAGATACTCCTTTGGTCTTTTTAGCTGCTAGAAAAAGGGAGTGGGAGAAAACAAGGCATTCTTTTTTTTGGTAAATTTTATTTGAGTTTTCACAAAAAAATACAAATAAAACATCTTTTTTGAAAGTAGCGCAATCCCGGGTTACATTTCTTCGTACAGACACAAATTCAATTTCATGCTCATTTTTATGTTCTATTCCATATCTTATTTACATTTTCTACATAGCTTCTCCCCTCTTTTAATTTTCTCAATTTTATTTTAATTATCTCATCTCAATCCAAATCATTATATTTATGCTTTTTGTCTGTCCTGTTTCCATTTCATATTATCTTTTTTCATTAAACAAAGTTTCTCCTGTAGTTGCTGATTGGAGTATGACACCTTTATATCTTTTAAGTTTATCCATTTAACTCTTATTTAGGCTTCAATATATACCTTAAAGTTATAACATTCAATATAGTACATAACTTCCATTCAGATTCTGCTTGGTACATTCTTAAAATACACACTATATTCTTTAAAAAAAAAGATTATAAATATATGTAATTAAAACAACACATTCCAGTCCAATTCAATT